AAACTCTATACATGAATGATAAACACAATCTTGGTTTTAGTCTGATGAAGAAATTGTAGAAAAGCAAAATAATCTAAGGTATGTTATATATTAAGTGAAGACCCTTGTAAATGAACTTAACTCTAACGTATGAATTTCCATGCCATGATTTCTTACTTATGTGAAGGAAAGACCTACCATTAGAAGACTGCCTTTGGGAAGCCTGGGCATGCCTCATTTCCTCTTCTACTCATCTGAAGGTCATGATTTGCTTCTTCACCGATCCAAAGATAATTTCAAAGTACAAGCTTCAAGATATTTCTATGGAGTTCTTGAAACTAAATGCATATATGTCTACTGAAAAATGCAGCAAAAGACACGCATTGAAAGAGTCATTGGATTTGTCCTAGCCATTTGGGGAATATTGTTTTACTCTCGGCTTTTAAGCACAATGACAGAACAATTTCGGGTAAGTTCTTGAGATAAACGCTACTGGTGAAAAATGACTGTTAATTGGTACAAATTCGTAATCGCTTTGGCTGGCAGTATAATATGACAAAACTGAGGGAAGGGGCACAGATGCAAGTCCTAGAAGCTGATCATATCATCATTTGTGGAATAAACAGTCATCTACCTTTCATACTAAAGCAACTGAACAGCTACCATGAGCATGCTGTCCGCTTAGGTACCGCTACAGCTAGGTATTTTGGTCTCTCTATATATCTACAATTTATTTCTCGGCTTATGTTGACTGGGATACTTACTTTTCCTTGTTACATGCTTTCAGGAAGCAGAGACTTCTGCTCATGTCTGATACTCCAAGGAAGCAGATGGACAAGCTAGCTGAGGCGTACTCCAGAGATTTTAATCATATTGATATCCTTACAAAGAGGTAAAGTGGTTGACATGCTACCTATTAAGCAAAAGTGAACCTAAAGTGGTTGACATGCCATATTAATTCATGTTCTTGTTGGTTTGCATACATTTACAGTGCTGATTTCATGCTTTCTACCAGTGCAGTTGTAGTCTTAACATGACGAAATCATTTGAGAGGGCTGCTGCCTCTATGGCACGTGCTATTATCATACTACCAACGAAAGGTGATAGGTAAGAAAAATTCAACTCTCGGAAAGTATATGTGTGTCAGCTTTGAGAAAAAAGATTATGGAAACTGAGAAGTTCCGGGTAGATATTTGAGTAGTAATGTTTTTAGTGTCGTAACTCTTTCATGTTAGCTTTTCCATAGTAAAATACATATCGATATGTTTACTAAGCTAGCTTAACAATTGGGATATATATAGGGCGCGGTTAAGAGAGTTATGTGTATATGCTAGTGGTAAAATGTATGGAATCTCACTACTTTGTAAAAGAGGAATCAATTAAGTTAAACATTGTTTCAGGTATGAAGTTGATACAGATGCATTTCTTTCTGTATTAGCCCTTCAACCTATACAAAAGATTGAATCGATCCCAACCATTGTAGAGGTAAATTAGGTAACTATATATTGTGCAGTAATGGTTCTGTTTATAATGCTTATCTTTTACCTTTCTTGCTTCTGGAAATGAATGCAGGTATCAAGCCCTAATACGTATGATCTTCTCAAGTCTATTTCGGGATTGAAAGTGGAGCCGGTTGAAAATGTTACGTCCAAATTGTTTGTCCAATGCTCACGTCAAAAAGACCTGATAAAGATCTACAGGCACCTACTAAATTACTCAAGTACGGTGTGCTTTCATCTTTCATTACTGCTATCTATGTTAAGAATTTTATTTCATGTTTGTATTATGTATGTATTCAAGACTAATTAATACCAAGTCTACTCGTTGCAGAAAATGTATTTAATCTTTGCAGCTTCCCCAATCTAGCTGGGACGAAGTATAGACAATTAAGACTGGGGTTCCAGGAGGTAGGATTGACTCTTGGGAGAATGTTTTTTCGTTCTTCGGATCAGTACCTTTTGATCGTTGTTACTAATTTCATTCTCTACATGTATTCCTTTCAGGTTGTGGTCTGTGGCCTTTTACGAGATGGGAAAGTAAATTTCCACCCAAATGATAACGAAGAGCTCATGGAAACCGACAAACTATTGTTTATCGCACCTCTGAATTGGAAAAAGAAGCAACTATTATATGCAGACATGAAACTTGAGAACATTACAGTTGCGACTGATACTCGGAAGCAAGTGTTTGAGAAAAAAAGATCACGGCTAGCAAAAATTATAATGCGTCCTCGTAAGTCCTTATCAAAGGTCTGACTCCCAACTGGCCCCTGTAATGCTTGATTTATACTGGCTTTCGAAAATTTTGAGACCTCTGATTTTCATTTCTATGGTTTACACAGGGATCAGATTCCATCAAAGGACCCACAGAATCTATACTTTTACTTGGTTGGCGTGGAGACGTTGTGCAAATGATCGAGGAGTTTGATAACTATCTTGGTCCAGGCAGTTCAATGGTATGATCATATACCATTCATTATCTCTCTCCGGCTGGCTCTCACATAATGAGTTACTTATAAGTTTCTGTTCACAGGAAATATTATCGGATGTACCGTTAGAGGACAGAAGAAGAGTGGGAGATAGTATGGGTTCAGTGAAAATTAAGAACATCCAAGTTTCACATAAGGTAAATTTCATATCCGGAGGCTAAAAGCATCTGCAACAAGCTTGGAGTAAAGGTAATCTTTAAACTTTTCATCGTTGGGAATCCTCTGAACTATGATACATTAAAGCAAACTATAATCCGTATGAAAAGTAAATATAGAAAAAGCAAAAATATTCCTTTGACCATCCTTGTCATATCGGATCGAGACTGGCTTCTTGGAGGTAAGCATTCGCGACTAGTTCTTCTTAGTTCCGTCTTTTGCAATAATGGTAACACTTACAAATATTTGATGTCTTTTAGATCCATCTAGAGCAGACAAACAATCCGCTTACTCTCTTCTACTTGCTGAAAGCATCTGCAACAAGCTTGGAGTAAAGGTAATCTTTGAACTTTTCATCGAATCCTAACCACATTGCGTAGGTAGAATTCGTCTTACTTTTGTTGTTTCTTTAGGTACATAATCTAGCCTCTGAAATCGTCGACTCAAAACTCGGGAAGCAGGTATTCAAAGGCGTTTTTTTTTTCTGTTAGCTACTTTTTATGGTTAAGTTGGTGAAACATTATACAAAACCATACAGATAACAGGACTCAAGCCGTCCCTAACTTTCATAGCAGCAGAGGAAGTTATGAGCCTTGTAACAGCACAAGGTTACATTTCATCAATTCGATTTTGTTTCTTGGTTATCTATCCACAATCTGAACAATAGTAATACTCTTTATAATCAGTTGCTGAAAATAGCGAACTGAACGAGGTATGGAAGGACATTCTAGACGCAGATGGTGACGAGATATACGTAAAGGTTAAAAAAAGAAAAACACTCTTCCTTCAAATATTTTTGCCAGCGACTTTCACAAATTTCAAAATAATTGCGGTCTGAGAATCTCGAGTTTCCTTTGAAACACACAGGACATTGAACTGTACATGAAAGAGGGCGAGAACCCTTCATTCACTGAGCTTTCAGAGCGAGCTTGGCTAAGGAGAGAAGTCGCCATAGGCTACATAAAGGGCGGTAAAAAGGTTTGTGTTTTATTACTCTGCAACATACATTTAAAACCTCTTCCTCTTCACGAACATCGGCAACCCAGATTTGTTGTTGCAGATAATCAATCCGGTTCCAAAGACAGAACCTCTCTCCCTCGAAATGGAAGACTCATTGATTGTTATATCAGAGCTTGAAGGAGACCAACCCATCGCACTATGAAAATATATACAATCTCATATACCACATATGTTATAGTTTATTACATACCAAGCGACTTTGGGCAAGGAGACTGACTCATTGATTGTTATATCAGAGCTTGAAGGAGACCAACCCATCACACTATGAAAATATATACAATCTCATATACCACATATGTTATAGTTTCTCACACACCAAGCGACATTGGGCAAGGAGACTGACTCACAAATGCAAACATTAAATAAGTCGTTGAATTTGTACAAAGAACCAAAATTCTTTTACATCGAAGCCCCTCTTTTGTTCATTGGTCTTAAATTTCAATGAACGATCTAATTTCTAATAACAATCTTGTACATGGATCTAAACTAGCTCAATCTATGCTCTCCTTGACAAACTCTCTAGTTCGTTACTTAGGAGACAAAACAGAACATGACAAAAACACAGCACCAAATCTTAGAATTCATTTCACACTGTGAAGAGAGGAAAGTTTAAACTTTGAGAAATGTTAACTGGATAACAAGAGGTCATTGAAACAAAAGCAGTACATATAAATACAAAACCAAATTAAGAACTGAGAGGATGCAGTGCAGTTACACAAAGTGGTAGCAAAGCAAGCAGGGGAGAGATATAGAGACAATTTGCCTAGAAACATCTTTCAACAAATCAAAGCATGAATAAAAAACACAAGAACAAAAATTCTTCAGGCAAATTTCTCTGCCTTTTTTTTTTTTGGCTTTTTCATTTATATATTTATATTAGGAAACAGTCTTGGAACTCTCTTGGTTCCTACACAAGGAAGCAAATGCATACATAGAGTTAAAGGGAAAAAAAACCCGTGAAGGACTCTCTTGTGTTCCTTCTTTTCAGGAAGAAGAGACACGTTCTCTGTTATTTACAGAAGCAAATGAAAACAAAGAAACAAAGGAAACAATTGGTACTCTAATTCGATTTCATCACTTTAGCAATTGACCACTTGTCATCACCCTTCCACCCGTTATTCCTCTGCAAGCTTGAGAAAATTAGCGATATCTTCAGGTAGCTTTGGACAATCACTGACATAGAATTTTCTAAGGTTAGGAAGAGTCCGAAAATTCCAGCAGATTTCCTTAAGTTCATCCAATTTATATAGCTCAAGGGATTCCAGGTTCCCAAAGGGAAGAACAATATCTGGATGCACTTTGGTAATACTCATTCCTTTCTCCTTATTTATTATTTCTTCTATTTCTCGTGAAATGCCCACTCGTAGATTCTTTAGATTTTGAGCAAATAACAGCCATGACAAATCCCTTTGCCCTTCCAAATTGAATATAAAAACAGTGGAGAGTTGCTTGAAGCCTGGATGAATCTCCATTGGTGAAAGCTCCCTTCTTTCTTTGCTTTCCCAATCTATCTTTATCTCAATTGATATGTTGCAACTCTCAATTGCAAGGCGTTGAAGACCTCCCAGAGCTATCGTGCTTAATATTACACGAGGTGCTGACATTCCTTGTAGACATAAACCTCGAATACAACTCGCCAATCGGTCAATTCCTTGTATCCTTTCCAAAATCGTGGCATCCTTTATGTTTGCCGTTAAAATCTTCAAGTGCTCCAAGTGCTGTAATTCCTCCATTAATATGTCATCAACATAAACTCGGGAATAAATTAATTTCAACACTTGCAGATTTGGTAAGGTTGTTGCTATCCCAACAAGACTGATCTCAAGTACACGAGTGTACTCCAGATTCAAGTAGATTAGTTTCCTCAACTTCTTCAGACCAACTGGTAGCGATTTTATCCTTGTGCGTGATAAATTGAGATATTGCAGGGAACCTAAGTTAGAAATTTCTTCCGGCAATCCAGTAAGCCCCCCGTTAGAAAGATCCAAGACCACAAGTTTTGGCATAAACCGAAAGAATCCAACTGAAATATCCACCAACTGAATGTTATCTCGGAGTAATAGGGTTGAAAGGTTGGGGCAGTTGGGACTGCAAGATATCTGCCAAATGTGAGTACGAATTAAAGACATCTGTCTCACAATCTCCCAATTGATGTCATTTGGTATCATACGTACATGATCCCCAGATTTCACACAAATTGTTTCTTGCTGTTTTCCGAAGTCAGAATTTATCCACAGAGCCATCTCACGTATCACATCATGCATTTTAACTTTGACACCACAATCAATCAACAAATGTGCACGAACTAACAAGCCAATTATATCATAACCTTGGTTGGTACCTCCATCTTCATATCTGTTCGGATTTATAAATCCTTCGCATATCCAGTATTCTATCAACTCCTCCTTCTTTATTTCAAAATCTTCAGGAAACAAAGAACAATATAGGAAGCACGATTTGATTTCACCATTCTTCAAGCTATCATAACTGAACTTCAAAACGCCAAGAATTCTTTCTTTCATACCTGGAAACTCGTGGCCAAGCGAATTCAGAACATTAATCGCATGACGCCATTCTTGTATAGACTCTTTACATGCCATGGCTTTGCCAATGACATTGAGTGCAAGTGGCAAGCCATGACATTTTGCAGCAACTATTCTTGCAAGTGCGGGGATATCCTGATGGCCTCCGAATATGACATCTCCAACAGTAATTCGAAACATTGCCCACGCTTTATTCTGGGGACAAACCATTCAATTTTATCTGCTTGTTATATTTTAAGGGCTTGCACAATTTCCTTCAAACGAATGGTGATACAATACTGCGAGCCCCATTCTCGAGTTGGAGGTGGACTCCTATCTTGTTCAGAT